TTTGGTGAAGTATCAATTCATATCCTTTGCCTATTTTTTAATTGGATTACTTGTCTTTTTGTTGTTGAGGTGTTGAAGTTTTCTGTAAATTTTAGAGATTAGATCCTTGTCAGATATGTGTTAGTGAAAACTGTTTTCCCAGTCTGTAGGTTCTCTTTTTACTCTTTTGGAGAAGTCTTTTGTTGAGCATAATTGTTTAATTTTTAGGAAGTCCCACTCATCTAGTTTATCTTCTGCTGTTTATGCATTTTTAATAATGTTTGGTATGCTATTTATGCCATGTATTAGGGACCCTAGCATTGTCCCGATTTCTTCTTCCATGATTTTATAGTTGTAGCATTAACATTTAGGTCTTTGATCCATTTTGAATTGGTTTTTGTGTATGCGGTGAGGTATGGACCTTGTTTCGTTTTTCTATAGATAGATATCCAGTTTTGCTAGCACCATTTGTTAAAGAGACTTTCCTCTTCCCCATTTAATAGACTTTAGCCCTTTATCAAAGATCAGCTGTCCATAGGTGGATGGATTTACTTCCAGGTTCTCATTTCTGTTCCGTTGGTCGTTGTACCAGTACCAGACTGTTTTTGTTACTGTAGCTGTATAGTAGGTTCTGAGATCAGGAAATGTGAGGCCTCCTACTTTGTTGTTCTTCTTTAATAATGCCTTACTTATTCAGGTCCTCCTTCCCTTCCGTATAAAGTTAGTGATTAGTTTTTCCATCTTGTTGAAGAATGCTGTTGGAATTTGGATTGGGATTGCATTATATCTATATACTGCTTTGAGTAGTATTGACATTTGCACAATGTTAAGTCTTCCTGTCCAAGAGCATGGCATGTTTTTCCATTTATGTAGGTCTCTTGGTTTCTTCCAGTAGTGTTTTGTAGTTTTTTTTGTATATGTCTTCTATGTCCTTGATTAGATTTATTCCTAAGTATTTTGTCTTTTTTAGGGGCTACTGTAAATGGTATTGTTTTCCTGATTTCCTTTTCAGAGTTCTCTTTGTTAATGTAGAAGAATCCAACTGATTTTTGTAGATTGATCTTATATCCTGCCACTTTGCTGAATCCTTCTATTAGTTCCAGTAGCTTTCTTGTAGACTCTTTGGGACTTTCTATATGTAGGATCATATCATCTGTGGATAATTTTACTTCTTCCTTACCAGTTTGAATGCCCTTTATTTCATTTTCTTGCCTTATTGAAGTAGCTAGGATTCACAATACAATGTTGAATAGGAGTGGTGATAAAGGACAACTTTGTCTTGTTCCCATTCTCAAGGGGAATGCTTTCAGTCTCTCTCTGCTGAGGAATACGTTGACTGTTGTTTTTGTATAAGTGCCTTTAGTATGTCAAGAAATTTCCCTTCTATTCCCACTGTGCTGAGAGTTTTTATCAGGAATGGGTGTCGGACTTTATCAGATGCCTTTTCTGTGTCGATTTAGATGATCGTGTGGCTCTTTTCCTTTATGTATGTGGTGGATTATGTTGATTAATTTTCTAATGTTGAACCATCCTTGCATGCCTGGTATGAATCCTACTTGGTAATGATGTATTATTTTTGATATACTGTTTAATTCCATTGGCTAGGATTTTGTTGAGAATTTTTACATCTACGTGCATGAGCAATATAGGTCTGTAGTGTTCTTTTTTAGTCTTGTCTTTGCTTGGCTTTGGTTTCAGGGTTATGCTGACTTCATAGAATGAATTTGGGAGTATTCCTTCCTTTTCTATGTTCTGTAATAGTATGAGTAGAATTGATGTCAACTTTTCTCTGAATGTTTGGTAGAATTCTCTAGTGAAGACTTCTGGGCCAGGACTTTTTTTTTGGGGTATTTTTTTAATGACTTCTTCAATTTCTTGTTTTGTTATGGATCTTTTCAAATTTTCTACCTCAGTTTGTGTTGGTTTAGGTAGATAGTGTGTCTCTAGAAATTTGTCTATTTCCTCTAGATTTTCACATTTGTTGGAGTACAAGTTTTCGTAGTAGTCTATTATGATCCTTTTTATTTCAGTTAGTTCTGTTGTAACTGTCATCTATCTCATTTCTTATTTGGATTATTTGCATCTTCTCCTGTTTTTTTTTTTTTTTTTGGTGAATTTGCTAGCGGTTTGTTGGTTTTATTGATCCTTTCAAGGAATCAGTTTTTAGTCTTGTTGATTCTTTCTATTGTTTTTCTGTTCTCTGTTTCATTTATTTCTGCTCCAGTTTTTATTATTTCATATTTCTGGCAACTATGAGCTTGTTTTTCTACTCTCTTTCTAATTGTTTGAGTTGTAGGGTTAATATTTTGATTTTTGCCCTTCTTTTTTGATGTGTGCATTTATTGCTGTAAATTGACCTCTGAGCACTGTTTTTGCTGTATGCCCAAAGTCTTCACAACCAGACCAGTAAGCAAGATCATGAGAAATGGAGAAAATATTGAAGTTGTGAAGGATTTCATTTTACTTGGATCCACAATCAGCACCCACAGAAACAGTAGTCAAGAAATCAAATGATGTATTGCATTGGGCAAATCTACTGTGAAAGACCTCTTTCGAGTATTAGAAAGCAAAGATGTCACTTTGAGGACTAAGTTCACCTGACCCAAGCCATAGTGTTTTCATTTGCCTCATATGCATGTAAAAGCTGGACAATGAATAATGAAGACTGAAGAAGAAGTGACTCCTTTCAGTTATGGTGTTGGTGAAGAATATTGAATATACCATGGACTGCCGGAAGAATGAACAAATCTGTCTTGGAAGCAGTACAGCCAGAATGCTCCTTAGTAGTGAGGAGATGGTGAGACTTTGTCTCACGTACTTTGGACATGTTATCAGGAGGTACCGGTCCCTAGAGGACATTGTGCTTGGTAAAGTAGGGTGTCAGCGAAAGAGAGAAAGACCTTCAATGAGATGGATTGACACAGTGGCTGCAACAGTGGGCTCTAACATAGCAATGATTGTGAGGATGGCACAGGACTGAGCGGTGTTCTTTCTGTTGTACACAGGGTCGCTATGAGTCAGAACTGACTCAATGGCAGCTAACAACAAGGGATTATTGAATATTTTTTTATTACTTACCACAAAGGATATTTTATATTTGCTCTAAGTTGTTGTATTTTCTTACAATAAAGTACTTCAGTAGTTTATATATAAACTACTAGTTATATCTCCTTTTTGGTTCCTGTTACCTGACTCTTGGAGCTACTGGGTCAGATGAGCATAACCCTATAATATCTATTTATGGTCACTGAAGGATTAATTGGGATGCCTCAGAACGTGTAACTGTTATATTTCATTGTAGTCTTTTAAATAATATTTGCTTTTTAAAAAGTGTTAGCCTAAATTAGATTACCAATTAAAAAGTAAAATCAGATCTTCCTTTATTATTATGAAAGTATAATTGCTGTTTCCTTGATTTTTAAACAGTATTTACTTTTGTAAAACTGTTAGCCTGAATTAGATTACTGATTAAAAACAGTAATCAAAGCTTTCTTTCTTATTATGATTATATATAAATATGCTATGTAATATGGTTATATTTTGAGTAAACAGGTAGTTTAATTTGCAGTCACTTCAAAATGTGTGATGGTAATTGCACGTCTCTTATTTGAAAACTTTCTGAGCCACAATGCCAAGATTGCTTATTTACACTGTCTGTTAACAGGAGATACAACATATACTGTCTGTAATTCTGACTCAAGGGCAGGGCAAAGAGCAGGCCTTTTAGCAGAAAGAATATTAATTCAAGGTTTTAAACTCAGATGTAGACATGATTTCAAATGAAACCTTGAGAATTTCTAGGAAAAACTCTAGGGAGTCTGAGAACAATTTATGAAATTATTTTATCTTTGTCATTCAGAAATCATATTTATATGTTTTAGAAGATTAGGCATATATGGAGAATAGTAATTAGGTCCTTAGACAATTCATGCCTCGACCATGATGTCTTTCTTAAACAGCAGCTTTTAATGTGCAACAGGTGTTTAATGTAGGAATGGTTAAGTAGCTCTCCATTATTTTTAGAAGAAATCAGAACGATTCCCAGAAGAATGATGATGATTATATAATAATCAGCACTTAGTGGTGTGCTAGGCACTGTTCTCATTCCTTTATGCGTTTGTTTCATCCTTGTACATTCCTGTGAGGTAGAACCTCTTAGTATCTCCATTTTACATGTGAGGTAACTGAGGCACGTTTTACATATGAGGAAAATGACTTGCCCAAGATTACACAGCTAGTAGGAATAAGAATGAGATTGACACAAGGCGGGCTGATTCCATAATCCATGCTCTAAAGCACTATACTGTATTATCCTTTTAAAAAGATAAAAATTAGCTAAAATTTGTATAATTTAACCTCATGATCAGCTGTTTTTGATGCTGCAGTTGAAACTGTTTTCAAAGTTTCATTGTTACTTGTTATTTCTTGCCTGCTTGCTCACCAGATATACCTGGTTGGCTACAATTTCCTATATATTCTGTTGAGGAAGATATGTTTTTACACCCAAAGAAAATTTACAAATTTCTCGTACTTCAAATTTCTGTTACAAATTTCTCTTACTTTTTTAAACAATCACTTAGTTATATTAAACCATATTAAAATTTATCTTTTATAAAATTTTATTCAGGTACAAATTTCTAATACAAAGAAGAAACAAACTTGTATGGATATTTCATTGTGGTGGTAACTTAATTGAATGTAAATTGCAGTTTTAAAAATATATACAGTTTTGTTGAAAAACTTTATATCATGAGTACCTGAAATGTTGTTGTTTCAGAGATAGGCATTTTGACCCTCAGTGGATTTAATGTGCCAAATAATTACAGAGATATTTATAAATTTAATAAAATCATAGAAATAAAATATTGACTACATTTATAAATTTTATTTCTGACACTTCAAATTAAAGCTACCTTAAAAATGACATCTAGGTAATTTTTCATCTTTTGAAACTTGTTGTTTCAGGATCTCTCTGACTTGTTAGTGGTTTCTTTTCCTGTTAACCAGGTACTTGTGGGTCACACCCCTTGGTTACTGTAGTAATATGTTTTAGATACTGCAGTGTATTGCTCCATCTCTTAGCTACAGTTAAGTTGCGCCTTTAGGTTTCTCATTATTTTTCACTCTTTTTTAACGATGATATCACTGTGCACCATTTGTAACACTGAGCAACATGTTAGAGATTTTGAGTTGAAGTGAAAAATAAGTGGGGACCATTACTATACGTCTCCAAACAATTAAATTTTAATTGAAGTGTTTTTGTTGTAACCATGCAACCTCCTGTGGTAAATATGACTGACTGCTCTTTCTTCTTATGCATTTTTAAGCAAAGTAAAGCAGCGGTTCGGCTGAAAGAAGACATGAAAAAGATAGTGGTGCTGCCACTAAACGAGCAGAGGGCTTCTACCTATACAAAGTTATTTGGAGTCAGTCTCCAAGAACTTCATCAGCAGGGGCTCACCGAGAATGGCATTCCAGCTATAGTGTGGAATATAGTGGAGTACTTGACACAGCATGGTAAGTTAAGTCATGTTTTAATTCTGTTTGTTTTTTCAGTTTCTCACATGCAGAGAAAATGTTTTTGTGTTAATTACGTCATAAAGTATGATTAGGATATTCCCTAGAACACCTTAATTAAAATATCAAATTACTGTGTGATATATTTTTCCCTTAAAAAAAAAGGCTGTTAAGAGCATTAATTCTTTGTACCATTATTTTGACAGTGCTAATTAGGCCTGATGGCACAATGGTTAAGAGCTTGGCTGCTAACCAAAAGATTGGCAGTTCGAATTCACCAGCTGCTCCTCGGAAACGCTATGGAGCAGTTCTCCTCTACCCTGTAGGGTCGCTATGAGTCAGAATTGACTCGACGGAAATGAGTTTAATTTGATTAACCATAAAACAGTATATTAGTTATTGAAGTTTCTAGTTTGAAATGATTCATGGTAAGTGCTAAAATACAGATATTCTTCTAATATTAATAGTGAGTTCTCTGGATTAATTGAATTCTGATTGATAGTCAATAATTTTTAACACAACAATTTCGGGGGGTTTCTTTCAGCTGAGGTCAATCATGAACTTACTGGATGCTTTGCTTATGTTCATAAGCTTAATAGGGTTACCATTGAGGGGGAGCATTTACTTTTGGAGTGATAAAAATAAGCATGTAAAACAATAGGAGAGTAATGTAGTAGTACATTTTATAATAAGATAAATTATATCTACTGTATGTCAGAATTAACTCCAGCAGGTTTGCTATCTACATGACAGCTATGCAGCCTACTGAGTCATTGAGTGAGAGAGAGGTGCCCTTCCTTTCTTTTTCTTCTGGCCCTGATCTGTGTAAGGAATTGGTCACCAGTCTTTTATGTAATGGGCACTGATCTGTGTATTCGGTGATGATTTTTATTTTATTTCAAAAATTTCAAACAATCTACATATAGCTTTTTCTTCCAGCAACCATTGGTAACTTCAAAGAGCAAGATGTTAAGGCATAGTTGTACAAAGGTAATTCTGTGAAGCAACAGAGTGATATGATCCAGATATGCAGCTTTTTGATAATTTTATTTGAAATAGGACTTAAACCTGGATAATTGGAGAGAATGATTCCCTATCCCCTAAATCTGTACTTTTCAAAACTAGGGTAGTGTGATAGGAGAACTCCAAACTATATTAAAAAAAAAAAAAAAAAAAACTTCAAAAGATTTGAGAAGGAAATATTCTGAGGGAAAAGTTTGCAATTTGCATCATTCATATACTAAAACAAACATGGATTCATTGCAGAGTAGAATATAAAAATTGTGGAGATTTTCCAAAGGAAAAACTTGAGACTTCAAAGAAATTCTATACTTTACTTCAGGCCCCCTTTCTTCCCAAGATAACAAATCTATTCTCTCTGCCAGTAAGAATCCTTCATTGGAAATGTATGAGAAGGATTGTCCTGTATAGAAACTTGACAGAGGCTATATGGAAAATAATCTAGGCCTGAGAAGTTCAGGTATTTTTTGTTAATTAAGAAAGGGGGTCTATATGTTCTAGTTACCGTGTATGTAGATGACAACAATATTATGTTCTGAAAACTGAAGAGCCAGGTTTATGTCCTTACTTTGTAGGAGTTATCTCTTTTATTTTTATTTTATTTTCTTTTATCTTTTTCTGTTTACAGGCAGTAATTCTACGACTAACCTTTAACGTGTTGTTTCAAGCATGTGTCAGTGTATTAGTAGACTATCTAGAAGTGGACAGGCTAGGTCAAAAGATACGTGCATTTACCGTTTTGGTCATGTTGCTAACTGCTCTCTATAGGAATGAACTACTCTTTATAGGCATGAACTCACACCATCAGTGTTTAAGAATTTTAGCAGATTTTGAATAGAGGATTGGTTTTCTTCTACATTTCTTTAGCATACTTCTGAGTTATACTTTTTTATAGGGTTTATTTAGGTAATGCAAAACTAAAATTTTTAATAGTCCAAATTAGTCATTCTTAACTAAGTATGTGAAATAGAATCACTAGTGAAATCTTTCTAGAATGCACATGTGTTAGCAGTACCCCAGATCTACTGAAACAGAAGCTTGATTGGACAAGGGAGGGCCTGACACCTGTATTTAAAAAGGAGCCTGGGTGGTGCAAATGGTTAAGTGCTCTACCACTAGTAGAAGGACTGGTGGTTGGAACCCACTCAGAGGCGCCTCCAAAGACGAGCCTGGCAATCTGCTTCTGAAAGGTCACAGCCTTGAAAACCCTCTGGAGCTGTTCTATTCTGCAAACATGGGATCGCCATGAGTTAGAATCGACTTGATGGCAACTAATGACAACATATATTTAATTACTTTGTCAGCCACCAGAAGTTCCTTATTGTTTGTAAAACTATCGTGTTAATAAACTAAAGAGCCTCTATAAGTTTGAAAAGTGGTATGAAGTTGAGGGCAAGATACATCAATTAGTTTTATTGATGTACTTTGTAATTTTTTTCAAGTTGACAAATATGCACTTGTTATATACATCGGATACTCTGTCAGGTAAGGAGACATAGGGGGTGATAGATCATTTAATTTAACCAAAGGTAGACATTTTGGTCATACTTTACTGTTTTTTAATGTAAATTCAGGCATTTAACAGCTTGACATGAGGGAAAACTGTCTTTATAAAAGAATTTAGGAAAGAGGTTGAATCACTACCTATATCAAAGCCTTTAAATAAACTTGACTTTTTCCTTAAAACACACACACACGCACAGTTATTTTTCATTTCAGAGGAAAATCTTATTATAAATGAGGAGTCATATCACCTTTTTACTATTTTAAAATATCTCATCTTGTTGATGTTAATGGATTCCTTCCGTTACTTTACTGTGAAGTTACTAAGGTACTGTGATTATGAGGTTTTAAATAGTGTAGGATTCCCCAGTTGCCACTAGATGTCAGAAGATGCTTATAGATAGTTATACTACTTGATGGGCCAAAGTGAAAATTCTGACTTCTGATATATTTAATTTCAAATGATGTATTCATACTGTTTTGAAATAAATATTTAAATTGTACAAAAAGTAGCCATCAATGGTGTTGACATTGTTTAACTTATATAATTGTTCTTTCATTCTAAACCACTGTAAGTTATGTTTTATGATAATTAAGCCATATCTGCTTAAATTAAAAAAAAAAAAAGAATCTCTGAAATGTATGAGAGTAACTCCACTCCATGAAGCCTTCTCAATATCTCCTTCCTTTAAATTTTTCTGTGATAATCATAAATTCTTAAAAATTTAGAATAGGAAGAGGACTTGGAGATTATATAGATAGTTTAATGAGCAAGCCTCATAGAGATATTGGAGGTATTTAAGCTCTTAAGGGGCTTTTTTAAACTGTATGGATTGTTTTCCCTAGAGTGTGTTAAATCCACGTCCAGAGGTATACTTCCCCTGGTTGAAAATCACTAAGTATGACGAGAGTTGTTTTGGGTGGGAGATGTTCCTGAGACAAGAGAGTTATGCAGATAAATGGAATGGAGGCAGCAAAAAAATGGTTGAGAAGCATAAGCGTCTGTGACTTCTATTTGCGCTTTATCTTTCCACTAGTATGGCCCAGTGTGATCCTGGAAGACCGCAGCCAGTTCTTGGAACTGAGTTATTTTGGAATGACTGGAAGTATATTTATTTGAGGGAAGGTTAAAAAAAAAGACCTTGTTGGAAGAGAAAGCTTAAGGTCAAAGCCAGAAAAACACTATGTGAAATCAGATCCAAGGGGCGTTTGCTAGGCCAAAAACAGGAGGCAAAGTTAGGCTCAGGAGCTGGGTAAGTACAAGAGGACACAAAATTTGAAATTTTCAGGATTTGGGCAGTGAACAGGGATAGGATTCTCTTTTGTTAGGTGCTAGTTGCTTGATGACAGAATGAATATATGAAGTTAAAGATGAACTTTTTACTGTAGAGGAAACAATTTGAAATGATTAGCTGAAGTCTTCCAATAAACCAAAACCAAACCCATTGCCATCGAGTCGATTTTGACTCATAGCAACCGTATAGGACAGAGTAGAAGTGCCCCCATAGGGTTTCCAAGGAGAGGCTGGTGGATTCGAACAGCTGACCGTTAGTACCTCTTATTCTGCAGGTGCTTAAAGGAATGGTTGTCTATTGCTTCCTAACAAATTGTTGTTGTTGTTAGCTACCGTCAAGTCAGCCTCCAACTCTTAGGGACCCCATGCACAAAAGAATGAAATGTTGCCTAGTCCTGCACCATCCATATGATGGGTTGTGGGTTGGACTGTTGTGATCCGTAGGGTTTTCATTGACTGTTTTTCATAAGTAGCTAGGCAGACCTTCTTTTCTAGTCCATCTTAGTCTGGAAACTCTGCTAAAACCTGTTCAGCATCATAGCAACACGCAAGCATCCACTGACAAATGGGTAGTGGTTGTGCGTGAGGCTCATTGGCTGAATTGAACCCGCGTCTCCTGCATGGAAGGTGAGAATTCTCCCTTTGAACCACCAATACCTCAACCTTACAAATTACCCCAAAACATAGTGGATTAAAACAACAGTATTTATTATTATCTCACAGTTTCTGTGGGTCAGGAATCAGGGCACAGCTTAGGGTTTGTCTTCCAAGACTACAATCATGGTGTAAGCCAAGGCTACAGTCATCTCAGGACTTGACTGGGGAAAGATCCATTTCTAAGCTCACTCACATGGTTATTGGCAGGATTCAGTTCCTTGTGAGCTGTTGAACTGAGGCCCTCAGTTAGTCACTGGATGTTGGCCAGAGACCACCCTAAGTTTCTTGCCACATGGACCTTTCCATAGGATAGCTCATAAAATAAGTAGCAGCTGTTTTATCAGAGCAAGCAAGCAAGAAGAGCCAGAGAGACAGAGTGTAAGCAAGACAGACATCATAGTCTTTTATAAACTAATATCAGAAGTAACATCACATCACTTTAGCTGTATTCTGTTGGTTACAAGCAAGTCACTAGGTCCAGCGCACGTTTAGGGGGAGAGGATCATACAAGAGCATGAATACCCGGAGATAGAGATCATTGGGGCCATTACAGAAGCTGCCTATCACAGATACTGACTAGTATCTCTTCTGATTGGCTGGTGCTCTGGCCATACCAAAAACCTATTGCCATCAAGACAATTCTGACTCATAGCAACCCTATAGGACAGAGAACTGCCTCCACAGGGTTTCCAAGGAACAGCTGGTGGATTTGAACTGCTGACCTTTTGGAGAGCAGCCAAGCTCTTAACTACTATGCCACCAGTGCTCTTTATCATCCCTGGTTTCACAAATAATTTTGTCAGAATTGGAAACTAAAATCCATATCAACTTTTGATATTCTTAATGTTCTTCACACCAAATAGTGTACATACATGTGAGAATCCCAACATCTTACCAGACTACACACTTCATAAGGGTAGTAATGTCAAGCTTTTTTCTCACGATTGATTTTTTTTTTTAGTACCTGGCATAGTGCCAGGCACTCATTAAATATTTATTGAATTAAAGGAGTCATAAAATGTTTTATCAAATTACAGATTAGAAGAGAATTAGCTTCCTTCTTTTTCTTTAAAAAGAGCAATACATTTAGCAGGTAAGAAAAAGAAGCAGAAGCTGATATAATAAATGGCTCCCATATAGAACAATCTAATAAACTTAAATGCTTATGTCATTGCTAAAATTCACCATTAGGTTTTCAAAAAAAGAGTGGCAAGATGCATCCTTGGCTTGCTCTTTCTTAGAAGATTGTTCACCTTCAGTGAACAGAAGTGTTCGTTTTATACCTTCAGCAATCCTCCAGTGTCTGCTGTGCTTGCTTATGTGGACGTGCTATCTTCTTAAACCCAACATGCTAAGCTGAAAATCATTACCTTCTGCCCTAAGCCAGCTACCCCTCCTGACTTCACCTTATCTCATACATTTGTTTTTTGCCACATTCCCAGTTTTCAAACCTTAAAATTATCTTTCACCCCTTCCTTTCCCTTACTTGTCCCTTATACTAAGTTACCAAATCATCTTTATACTTTTTCTTTTCCTTTTCCACCATAATCTCAGTCTCACTGCTGCATAATAAAGTGTAGCTTCCCTCAGGCAAGCTCTCTGCCCTCACCATTCTCTGCCTCTTAGTTAGCTAAATCCTCCCAAAATCCGATTATATTGTGTTTTTCTCCTATGTAATGCTCCAGTGATAAAGTCTTCATTCTTCAACTTAATATTCATGGCCCTATCCAGTTTCTTCGATTTTATTACCGCATCATTCTTTGACCTAAATAACTCCACGTTTTTAACTGCCTTACTTTCTTTATGCTATCCTATCTCTACCTATCAATTTATATTTTTGTTCTTCTTCATTAGTGGTAGAACAAGGTTTTATGGGGCTGGAAGCTTAATCCTTTTAGGACCCTCTTTAAAAAAAAGAATGCATAATTAAGAACAAGAATTAGAGACAGAACCTTGGAAAGGGCCCAAGCATATAAGGGTCCCTGAAGCTTAAGCTTCGTTAGCTTCACAGTAAATCAGCATCAGTCCTTCCATGTTGCCTGTGCTTTAGCCAAAGATTAAGGTTTAGCTTCACCATGAAATGTTAACCTCAGCCTACACCAAATCCCTCGTAAATTGACCGAAGGTGAGAATCTTATCTTATACCACTTTATATTCTCATAGAGTTTTGTACGTTTGAATTTAGTGACTACTAAAGAAACACTGCCTATTTCTTAATTAAATTGTTACAAAGATAATTGCATTTAGTTCAGAGGTTTCTTACATACATACAATTTTTTAAATAATTGCTCACGAAATGCTAAGCTGCTAATTAGAACCCAGGGTCAGTTTCTGTTATGTATTATATAATACTTTATGAATGAAATTTCTTTGCATGGAGTTATATATTATATTATTATATAATGTATTATACGTGTCATAACCATATTTGTAGATGTCAGATTTTATGACAATCATACCTAAATGCTTTTTAGTTGATATGTAGTAGATATGGACATTTATTGTTCTAGGAAGTATTTTTATGAAATGTGAAAATCTTCTAATGCTTAATAATTATAGTAGTCAGAAAATCCAGTTGTTGGGATTTATTTATTCTTGTTGTTGTTCTTTAGATTTTTTTGTGAGAGACTTCTATTCTGTATCTGTCTACTTTGCTGTTCCAGGACTTAACCAGGAAGGCCTTTTTAGGGTGAATGGTAATGTGAAGGTGGTAGAACAGCTTCGACTGATGTACGAGAGTGGAGTGCATGTGGAGCTCGGGAAAGATGGTGACATCTGCTCAGCAGCCAGTCTCTTGAAGCTCTTCCTGAGGGAACTGCCAGAGAGAGTGATCACCTCAGCATTACATCCTCGATTCCTTCAGCTGTTTCAGGGTTAGTAGAGTAATTCCTTTTAAAAGTTAGAACAGTTTTATTTTTCAGTAGAAACTAAGTTTTGCTCTTAAATGTTTGTGGTCTTTCTACAGCCACATCTTGCTATTTTATTCCATGCCTTCATCTTCAATCCTAAAGTCATACTAAACTGATTGTGAAATATAGTACTAAATGGAATTTCTAAGATCACTGGCGTATGAACACTTCAGTAACATAGTACTGAAAGAACCTGAGGCTGTGGGGCCGAAGAAATCCTTTTCTGACTAGTGACTGCCGTAGGAAGAATGAGAATAAGATATTGAATTCTATGTAGAAAAATATTAATTAAATTGTGTTTGGTCAGTGACCTGTGAGACGGAAAGCTCACAGGCGTGCTTTCTTTTTCTTGTAAGTAATGGAGTCCTAAAATAATTATGTTCATAAAAATTGGTTTTTGGTTATAGGATAATTTTATGTTCATAAAAATTGGTTTTTGGTTATAGGATAAAGTGATTTTAAATGAAAAAATTCCATTTTAAAATGTAATAACTATAGGAATGATCATTATTGAGTTCTCCTTCCTAAATACAGTAAGAAAAATGTTTTACTCTTGAAATCATTTCTTTCCTTATTGTTGCCAAGTTACAGTGAAAAGGGGGAAAACGTATTTATGAGTGTTTATTGCCAGATTGAGAAGGGTATTACTTAAAGCCACATTCCTTTAAAGTTGTTTTAAAACATGTGGTATACTAAAACATGCATTATACTAAAGAATGGGATAAGTGAGAAGTCCAGATAGGATCAGTAAGAAGGCTCCAGAAGTATTTTTACCCTATTAAAGACCATTTTCAAATATTAGATGAAAGTGACTGGTCAGGTTGTGTTGGGAAACTACTCTAAACACTCAGCCAAGCCATCCATCCACTAGGGAGGGAGATTCATGTGTAGCTTCCTAATGCCCTAATGCCAGCAATGCCTCTTCACGCTGGCCCCTTATCATCCTCCACAGCCCCTGGATCACTGTGGTAACTTCCAGGGAGTCTTCTTGGAAGATGACCCACCTCTTGCTCCTTTCTTCAGAGTTCTCATGTGGTCCTCAGGAAACTCATGCACATCTTTGCGAAGTTCTGAAAGTGGTGACCGGGCCAAGGGGGGGGAGCCTGGCCTTTTTGTCCCGCCACCCAAGGCACCAGCAGCCAGCTTTCTGCATTAGACTCTTGCAGATGTGAATCAGTCCCAGTCCATATGTCCCCTGGGCTCCAGAGGACACATTTCAAACTTTCTAGGTGATTTTCTGATGCCCCTCTCGCTTGGCTTGGGAGTGGTGAGGGAAGCATTCTATCTCTAACAACTCTTCCTTTAAAGAAATTCTCACTCTCTAATCCTTAACTTCAAGTTTTAAGTTTCAAGTTTCCACTTCAATGTCTTTGTGGTAGATGATGGTCCAAGGCTGGCCAGACCTGTTTTTGGGGTCTCACCTTAGCAAGTCCCACATAGCTGATCTGGCACCTCTCCTTAGAACAGGTGGGCCCATAACAACATTTGTTTTCACCTTTGAGGCCCCAGCCTAAAAGTGATACAACAGGAAAAATTCCGTAAGCCTCGCCCTTTTTTTTTTTTTTTTTTGCTATTTTGTTTGTGATCTTATTTAGCCACTGCAAATCATTTTTTTTTAAAGGCATGATATAATAATATAGAAAAAACTATTAAATAATATGCTCTGTTGGGAGTCCCCGGTTGGTGCAAATAGTTAATGTGCTTGGCTGCTAACATTATAAAACGGAATTAATAATGAAAGTTTGGCAATTTGAGTCCACCCAGAAGTGCCTCAGAAACAGGCCTTCGAAGGGATTCTTCCCGGTTCAGTCATGGCCGAGGAAGTGAAACTAGAACAAACCCAAACTTTTAAAATTTGGGTGAACTGGAACGATAACCAAAATAGGAAAAATTATGGGTCAAAACCATGCTAGAAACCTAATCTTCCTCTTAGAAAACAATGCGACGTACTTGTTCCATAGCAACCAAATCTCTTGCCCGTCAGATTTTGAGCAGTTGGAACCAGCAGCGCCCTGCTGAAAGATGGCATACAAACTTGCCACTTTGAATGTGTGTTGGTCTCCATAGTCCTGACAATAATCCAGTCCCCTGCATCAGGCTTCTGAAAGGGCTCCCTGCGCCTCTTCTGAGTCTCCTGTTCCGGGGCTTTGACCCATAATTTTTCCCCTTCCAGTTAATTTCCATATTCACCCAAATCATAAAAATTCAGGTCTGTTCTGGTTTTGTGTCAGCCATGACACCAGTTCAAACTGGTTCAAAGTCCTGCTCAGAATAAAAGCCTAGTGATCTACTTCTAAAAAATCAGCCATTGGAAACTCTATTGTGAAGTGATGTGCTGAGTTAACTGGAAAAAAGCAGTTTGGTCCCCAAGAAGGACCATCTAGGGGCCTGATGTTGCTAAGCCTCAGGAAGTATGATTTCTCTTGGCCATGTGGGGAGGCCAATAAGAGCCCTGAACCCTAAGGCTGAGATGAGCTTCCTGATTGGTGACTATGCATAGGAAAGCGTTGGTACCTCCTTCTTTGGGACATGGAAGCTCCATGCTGGGACCCCTCCCAGACCTTACCCTATACATTTCTTTCTTTGTATCATTTTTGTTTGTAATAAATCTGTAGTCATAGGTACGGTATATTCTCCATGAGACTCTGTGACTCGTTGCGGCATATTATCAAAATGGTATGTTTTATCTTGGAAATTTTTAATGACTAGCATAGCTAGGAAGGAAGAAGGAACGAATTTTTAAAAAAGTATATACTGTGGGAAAAAATGGTAGGAGGATGTGTTTTTTCCATTATTTGCATAGATGATTTTTTTAAAGAATTTTTCCTTTTCTTTTTTTTTAATTGTGCTTTAGATGAAGATTTGCAGAGCAAATTAGTTTCTCATTAAACGATTAATACCCATATTGTTTTGTGACATTGGTTACCAACCCCATGATGCGTCAACACTCTCCGCTTATTGACCTTCAGTTCCCCATTGCCAGCTTTCGTGTCTCCTCCTGCCTTCTTGTCCTTGCCCCTGCATTGGTGTGCCCATTTAGTGATGTTTTGTTTTATGGGGCTATCTAATCTTTGGCTGAAGGGTGAACCTCAGGAGTGACTTCAATACTGAGTTAAAAGGGTGTCTGGGGGCCATACTCTCGAGGTTTCTTCAGTCTGTCAGACCAGTAAGTCTGGTCTTTTTTTTGTGAGTTAGAATTATGTTCTATATTTTCATCCAGCTCTGTCCAGGACCCTCTATTGTGATCCCTGTCAGAGCAGTCAGTGGTGGTAGCCAGGCACCATCTGGTTGTGCTGGACTCAGTCTGGTAGAATCTTCGGTAATTGTGGTCCGTTAGTACTTTGGACTAATCTTTCCCTGTGTCTTTGATTTTCTTCATTCTCCCTTGCTGCAGACAGGGAGGGACCAGTGAAGTATCTTAGATGGACACTTACAAACTTTTAAGACCCTAGACACTACCACCAAAGTAGAATGTAGAACATTTTCTTTATAAACTATGTTTTGCCAACTGAGCTAGATGTCCCCTGAGGCCAAGGTCCCCACCCCTCAGCCCACTAATTCTGTCCCTCAGAGAGTTTGAATGTGCCTGTGAAGCTTCCATGACCTTGCCTTGGTCAAGTTGTGATGGCTTCCCCAGTATTGTGTACTATCTTACCCTTCACCAGAGTTACCTCTTACCTTGAGTTTTTAGTGTTTTTCCCTCCCCACCCCCACCCCTCCTCTCCCACATAACCATCAAAGATTGTTTCTTTCTGTGTGTAAACTTTTTCATGAGTGTTTATAGTAGTAGTCTCATACAATATTCGTCCTTTCGTGATTGACTTATTTCACTCAGCATAATGTCCTCCAGATTCATCCATGTTGTGAGATCATCATTGTTCTTTATTGTTGCATAGCACTCCACCGTGTGTATGTACCATTGTTTGTTTATCCTTTCATCTGTTGGTGAGCACTTAGGTTGTTTCCATCTTTCTGCTATTGTGAATAATGCTGCAATGAACATGGGTGTGCATATGTCTATTCATGTAACAGCTCTTATTTCACTAGGATGTATACCTAAGGGATCAACTCGACAGCACATAACAACATATACCTAGGAATGGGATTGCTGGATCATATGGTGTTTCTAACTTTTTAAGGAAGTGCAATATCATTTTCCAGAATGGTTGTACCATTTTGCATTTTCACCAGCAGTGCATAAGAGTTCCAATCTCTCTGCAGCCTCTCCAACATTTCTTATTTTCTGTTTTTTTGGTTGGTTGATTGTGGCCTTTAGATCTTCTGTATCTTTGTTGAGTTTCTTTCTAGATGTTTTGTCCTTTACTGAGAGTGGTGTGTTCAAGTCTCCTACTATTACTGTTAGAGTTTGTTTTATGTATTTTGGAGCACTGTCACTGGGTTTAAAGATACTTACTATGGTTATTTCCTCATGTTGGATTGTCCCTTTTATCATAATATAATGCCCTTCCTTGTCTTTATGGTGGATTTTGTTTTAAACTCAATTTTATCTGAATTAGTATTGCCACTCCTGCTCTTTTGTGGTTGCTATTTGCTTGATATATTTTTTCCATCCTTTGATTTTTTAATATATTTATGTCTTTGTTTCTAAGGTGTGTCTCTTGTAGACAGCATATTGATGGGTCCTGTTTTTTTAATACATTCTGTCACTCTCTGTCTCTTTATGGGTGCATTTAAGCCATTTATGTTCAGCATGATTATTTATAGATGTGAGTTTATTGCTGTCATTTTGTAGTGCTTTTTTCGTGATGCTGACGTTTTCTTTGTTCCTCTTACTCTCCTGTGCTGAATTCCTTTTGTTGTGTTTTTTTTTTCATTTCTTTTGTTTTTGTAGATTTTGTGTTTACTGACACTTTGTTTTTCTTTTTATTTTGATAAGTAGTTTTGTTAACTTTCTTTGTGTTTACTTGAAATTTACCCCATCTTCCTAAGTTTGAACCAGTCTT